GTGTTACATACTCGTGATTGTGTCAACGAGTATGGGGCAGAACCAAAGATCAACCAATATAGGATGAGCATGTATGCAGCGGAAGTCTGATAAACGGACTGACTCACATAGACTGACTCACACAGCTATCACTCCACACACATACAATCGTGAGATGGTGGGGTCTGAGCCATACATGGAAGATGCTCAGGCCCCGTACACACATACACAGATGAAAGGTGGGAGGAGAGACGAAGGAGGTGGGGGGAGGTAGACAGCACCGAAGGTCACCGAGATAGAATCCGATAGGTCACCGATATGGTAGTCCAAAATGTCATCAAACAAGATCAAAATGTCGAGGACAATAAGTCACCAATGTCGGAGATACAGAGTCCAAATGTAACCGGTGTCCGAAGTGTGATGCCGCTGAGTATCAACCCCAACAATCTCCAAGTCTCGAATCCGGTAAGTACCACAGCCTCATACCACCGAAGTCCAACACTGATCTCTTTCCAACTAGTATGAAGTCTCCAATCTGAAGAAGAAGAAGAAGTCTGAAGAAGAAGAAGAAGAAGAAGAAGAAGAAGAAGAAGAAGAAGAAGAAAAGAGTCGAGGAGAAGAGAGAGAGAGAGGGGACTGGCGATGGAAGGGAGGAGAGAACCTCCGGCTCCCGATACCTCAGGCGGCTATGGCCGCCGATCTTGCTCAGTCCCCGCTGCTGCTGCTCTGCTCGCTGCCGCTGGTGCTCCTCGTGCTCCTGCACTAAGTATAGCGCTAGCGCTCTGGCGCTAACCATAACGCACCGCTAAAGTGTCGGTGGTTCGATACCCTCGAAGTGAGGCCGGACCGGTCTTTAGTACTGGTGGGGCAGAGGCCGGCCTTAATGCTGCGAGGCCTGGCCGTGCCCTGAACCGTCGAGATTGACGGCTCAGCCCCAACCGGCAGGCGGCAGCCTCAAGAGCGCCGCCAGGCCCAAAAGGTAATGTCGTTTGGGCCTGCCCGTCGGGTCTGGTCCAAGTCGTGGCCTTTCGGCCTGATAATCCCCCAAGGTCGGGCCTTTAGGCCCTAATGTGTCCCTCTAGCCCTAAGTCGGGTCCAGTAGGACCCGTGTGGCATCGAAGATGTAACACACTCCCCCTCTTAAAAGACCGAGCTACTTGCGAGGGCGGAGTTGTTTGTCCGATACCGGGATGGGTCGGGTGGGACGAGCTGCTTCCTTGGCAAGGCGTCGCTTCTCATAGTAGGCGAAGATGAGGGGTGCAGAAGTCTGCAAGTCTGCACTAGAGATCCACCGAGTGTCGCCAGGTGCACATTGCTTGAATGTGACTTTGAACTGCATTGGCTTGTTGCCATACTTGCGGTGCGTGATGACTCGGTCGACTTCCTGATGTCCGAATGTTGACCACAAAGGAAGGACCTGCGGGGTCGTCTCCAACAGCAAAAGTGACTTCCCATGGTCCGAACCATTTCGGAAGGAGTTTGCACGAAACGTCCTGCTCGAGCGCAAATTCCTCGGAGAGGACCCAAACAAGGTCTCCCTCGCGGAAAGGACATGGAAGTCGACATCGGTTAGTTTGTTGCTGCATGCGGATTTGGGCCTTTTGCATATTTGCGCGGGCTTTGATCAGCAAGTCCCGGTACTTCCGAACGGAAGCGGGAGAGCAAGGGACGTCTATGTTGGCAGCCTGTGGCAAAAGGAGATCAGCGAAGATCCGTGCTTTCTCTCCACCATGATGTAGCTCAAATGGTGTGCCGCAGATCGTCGGGTGCACCGAAGTGTTATAGGCGAACTCGATGTCGGGAAGTCGGTAAACCCAATCTTTCTGCTCGGGACAGATGAGCGTACGCAACATCATCTGAGCGGTCTAGTGCGCTCGCTCCGTCTGACCATCCGTCTGCGGGTGCCTAGCCGAGCTCGGCTTCATTGTCGTACCGGACTCAGCCATGAGGGAAGTCCAAAAGGCCGACATGAAGCGTGTATCTCGGTCGCTCACTATGTCTTCCGGAACACCTTGGTTGGTAATCCAACCGGTGTGCAAGAGTCGTGCGAGCTCAGGCGCTGCAGCATGATACTTGCAAGAAAGAAAACGAGCATACTTGCTCAAGGGGTCAACAACCGTGAGATTACCGTCATGGCCATGGCGATCGCGGGGGAACGGGCATGTCACGTCCATAGCAATGGAGAGGCACGGTGCCCGAGGAATCGGCAATGGTTTCAGTTCGCCGAAGGGGATTCGAGATCGACCCTTGTTACGGTGGCAAACTGCACATGACTCAACGTACCTCGTGACGTCATGAAGGACGTCAGGCCAGCGAAAACGCTGGCGGAGCCGTGCTAGTGTGCGGTTCACGCCAAGGTGTGCCGAAAGTCGTGCATCGTGGAATTCGCCGAGAAGACGAGTCCGTAAGATGCGATCTTGGGGCACAACTAACAAGTCCTTTCCTCTCGTGTGAAGGAGGAGGAACCCGTCGGAAATCCGATAGTGGCTAGTCGGCGGGTGATTCGATGAAAGCTCTGCGTAAAGCGTAGAGTAAGTCGGATCGGACTTATAGCCTTTGACGAAATGCGGCTGCAGATCGTCATCGAGGTCAAATGTCGTGGTCACAATCGCACAAAAATCGGGCCGTCGTGAGAGGGTGTCCGCAGCTCGATTGGCGGGACCGGGAATGTGGCACGGGTCAAAGTCGAACTGGTCAATGTAATACATCCATCGACCAATCGTGCTAGTGACCGTATCCTTCATTTTGTAAAAGGTCAACGGATTGTTGTCCGTATTCCATTTAAAACGCCGATGGCCGAGAAGAAAGTGGCGCCACCGTTTGAGAACGGTGACGAACGCGAGTAGCTCTTTCTTCCTAGCGTCGTCGAGAGTGTTGACGAGAGACACCTTTTGGGAGAAATACTCGACCGGATGCCAACCGTCCTCGTGACACTGTTCCAACACCGCACCAATATCGTATCCCGAAGCGTCCATAGTCACTTGGGTGGGAAGGGTGAGGTCGTATATACGGAGGGCAGGTGCGGCTTGCATCGCTGCCTTCAACGTAGTGAACGCGTCACGGGCTGCATCGTCGAACTCGAAGGGCACCTTCGGGGACTGAAGTCTCGACAAAGGAGTGGTCACTTTCGAGTATGACTCGACGAATCGCTGATAATATCCAGCCAAACCCATGAAAGAGCGTACATCCGTCGTGCAACGGGGGTCCGGCCAATCCACGATGGTTTGGATCTTGTCCGCTAAGGGACGAATGCCTTTCGGCGTGACAAAATGACCCAAGTACTCAAGCTCTTGCTTGGCGAACTCGCACTTGTCGCGATTCGCATTGTACTTGGCCAGTCGCAAACGATCCAAAACAGCGCGAAGGTGTATGATGTGCTCGTCCAACGTCCTGCTATAAACCAAGATGTCATCGAGGTAAATGAGGACGCTGCGATCGAGCAAGTCGCGGAACTCAGTCGTCATAGCTGCTTGGAAAGTCGCGGGGGCATTGGTGAGGCCAAATGGCATGACAACCCACTCAAAATGCCCGTACCGCGTCTTGAACGCGGTCTTGTACCGATCTTGAGGCTGAATTTCAATCTGGTGGTAACCCGACTTCAAGTCCAACTTCGAGAAGTACGTCGCGCCGCCTAACCGCTCAAGGAGATCATCAATCTAAGGAGGAGGGCCGGCGTTTTTTACGGTTTGTGCGTTAAGTTTGTGATAATCGATGCATAACCGTAGATCTTTGTTCTTCTTCCGGACGAAGAGAACAGGGGCACCGGATGGCGAGCAACTAGGGCGAATCCAACCCTTGTCGAGAAGGTCATCGAGTTGTGCGCGAAGCACCTCGAGTTCCTCTTCGCTCATGCGGTAGATACATCCACGCGGAGGGATGGCACCAGCCTCGAGAGTGATCCCGTGACGTATGGGCCGATCCGGAACCGTTCCGGTGGGAGCCTCGAAGACGTCTCCATACTCGTCCAAGAGGTGAGTGATGCGTGGGTCYGGCGGTGRCGCGGCTGGTCCGTCCGGCGAGGGGAGAGCATGCAAGAATACAAGGCCCATCTCCTCGACATCATTCCGAGCTATGGCGTCGCGAATTCTCGCAACGGAAACCACGTGACAAGCAATCGAAGTGTGAGGGGTCGCGACCGTACATGGGACTAACACTCCGTTCCAATCACGGATGTGAACGGTTCGGTCGTGAAAGTTCACTGGATGATCGGCGCTACGTAACCAAGACATGCCTAGAATCATGTCGAACTTGGTGTCGAGGATGTCAAAAGATACCGGCTCGCACGCAAGTGGCGCAAAGTAGACCGGAACGCCGTCAACGCATCGGTCAATTGACTTTTGCGTGCGGCCGTCCGCGAGTGTAACTTGCGTAGGTTGCGTCTTTCTTCGAACGCGCGGGCCAAGACCTGCGCGGGCCATAAAGGCTTGGCTCATAAAGTTGTGAGACGCTCCGCAATCAATCAAGGCACTACAGGTTGCCTTTCCGATTTGAATGCGGATATAGAGCAACGACGCTTCGGTTTCGGCGTACCTTTGGGTGGTGTACTCGCGGTCAATCTTCGCAAGATAGGAGCGGAGATCGACAACCGCTACCCCGTCGTCCGTCAACGGAGCTGGTACTGTAGTGTGCAAATAGGAGCGTAGATTTGCCATCAAGGCATTGCAATGTGGCCTTGGCAAGGTTCTGGTCGAGGGTAGAGGCATCCAAGCAAAGTCCTCTCTCGTGAGCGGGTCAAGCTCCTCAAGTCTTGACCACTCCGTCGAGTCCTCGGAAGTCAGTGGCGAGCTGACCGGATCACTTGCCGACACTGTACAGGCTGCGCATACGCAATCTAAGTGCACGTGGCTCGACTGGTCTAGTGGTGGTACCAGCTGGGCGACATAATCCTCGTACGTAGCACGAGAATCAGCGACTAACGCATGCTCCCCGGTAGTGACATCGATTGCTAGCAAGGCAACCRGGTCCGGCGGAGTGAGGAGAGACGTCGCCCCTCTCCTTGCGTAACTCAGTTTCCCGAGTTAGCTGGACGGGGTACGTGTGCCTTGCCCTTTTCGGGGCATTGTGCGGTCAAATGAGTGACTCCATTGCACCAAAGGCAATATCCGTACCGTTGACGAAGGTCATAGATTTCCTTGGTGATCTTGTATGCCGTCCATGGCTGCTKCCCAGTTCCCGTCGATGYCGTCTCTTGTGTCGCCTTGTTCTTCCGAACTCTCTTGGGACGCTTCGGCGGGAGCGCTGCTACAATTCCTCCATCACTCGAGGATGCTGCTGCAGCGTGGAGATCGACTGTTTCGTCAGAAATCACGGCATTATTATGTGTCGGTCGTTGATAGCCCGGCTTAGCCACATAATGCGGCTGGGACTGCGGTTCGTTTGCGGCCTTGTCATCCGTTTGGATGACCAAGTTCGCACGATCCAGGATGGCCTGGAATGAGGCGTAATCGTACTCGTTGCTTAGTGCGGTTCGCAGTCCTGCGCACGATCGCGAGAAGAACTCGGATCGTTGGTTGGTAAAACTCAAATCGAAGCCTGGCGCGGTCACTATCTTTTGCCGCTTGGTTGTCCAGTCTCGAGTTTGCATACTTCCTTGTGAGCAGGTGTACACCTCGTTCATGGCCGCCTTCACGACGTTGCGGACCATGAATCGAGTGAACCACAATTGCTCGAACTCCTTCCACGGGATGTGCGTGTGGAGTTCAGCGATGGTGCATTTCTTGGTAGCCGCCAGATGGTTCATCCATTCTTGTGCTCCTCCAATTACTTGTAAGTAGAGCGCCTTCATCATGTCGTCAGCCGGGACAGTGCGGCATGATGCTTCCGTGAGGAAACTTTGCCACCATGTCAAGGCGTCCGTCTTGTTGTAGTCGTCGAACTTGCTGATGGTGAAGTGCGGCATCTTGTAGTTCCTTGTAGCGGCGTCCGGTCTTATCTGCAACTTGGTGATGTCCGTCTTGATGGCGGACACCGTGCGGCTGATCGTGGCCGGACTAGTGAAATCACCTAGTTCGCCAATGATGGTGACAACGTGATCGATGCGCTCGTTGAGCTGCTTCGTCGCGTCTGTCGTGCAGCCTGGCGCTGCTGAGGCCTTAGCCTCGATGTTGTTGACACGTGCGGTGGTGGTGCTCAACAACTGTTGCTGTTGTTGCTGATGTGTGGCGGCAGTGCGAACAACAGCTGTTAAGGCTGCAGAATCATTCTGCTGAATTTGTCGCGGCTGTCTGCCCTCGTGTATTTGCACCATTAACATCGTATTGGTCCACATGACCGCTCGCATCATATTCAACATCAGGTTAGCCAGGTTGCTCCTTTCTTCCTCCGCCGGTGTCGGATCCGCCTGTGTATCCGAAGGCACAAACAGCATGCCTTGGAGCAATGTCGTCCACTGACTCTCATTCACAGTCGAGGATTCCATGCTAATGGCGTTCCGCTTGTCTCGCACCACGACGTCAGCCTCAGCAGTCCGCTGAGCTTGGGCTGCCGCCTCACTGGCCAGCCGCTGACGTTCCGCCTCTGCTGCCTCCTGCTGAACCTTGGAGGCAGCTACGGCATCTGTGAATACCTATAGCCGCCCAAGGTAGTCAGCCAACGGTTCATGGGCCCCTTGGACCGGACATGCGGGAAGAACTCCGGTGAGAACCGGTACTGTCAATGCTTTTCAGGTTCGAGCAACGTTTCCTTCGTTGAAGCAACCTTTCCGAAAACTTTTCTGCCAAAGGCAACAATGCATTGCATGAGCAACTGTTGTCCAACGTTGCTGGTTGGAATTAATGTTGCTCAAGTCACTCGTAACATTGGAGGAACTTACTAGAACATTGTTAAGACATTTTTCAGATCGTGTCTTACCTGCATCAGCAAGGGGCTCGATGTTGTGCTAGCCGGCCCCATGTCTGCGTCGTGCTCTCTGGGCCCATGCCGGTGTTCCCAACCAGGCAAGGGGCAATATCCAATCCCCCTCTTCACCAAGAGAGTTCAAGTTAGCTAGTAGTTGTGCTTGCAAGGGTCCCCTGTATAGTCTTTCGAGTTGTAGTAGGTATGTTATGAAAGGTGAATTTGAAAGAATTTGAGAGAAGGATACAGCATAGTTATTAAACCACTAGTACTTCACCGAACTATTGATGTCGGGCCTTAAAATGCCCTCCACGCTAAACTTTCGCGAACCGCCAGTACAACTTTTTTTTTTTCTTTTGCCTAGCGCCACCAGCCATTGTGGTCCAGTACCCTCGAAGCCAGTTTAAACCGCAAGTACACGGCCCCAACCTTGCAGAAAGTTTTTGCCGTTACAAGCAAAACTTGGAGGGGCTGTGCGGCGTGAGGTGCCGTTGAAAAAAAGAAGTCGGCGGCCTGAAGTGGTGTGGGTTTCTGGCTGACACCCGCGGGCCGATGTGCGGTGTATTGGTGCTTTAATGCGGCGCCAATCACCACACATCGGCCCGCGGGTGTCAGCACGACACCCGCACCACTTCAGAGGCCACATATTATTTTTCTCAACCGCGCCCTTGGCTGCGCGGCGCCTTCGAGTTTTGCTTGTGGCGACAAAAACTTTCTCCAAGGCTGGGGCCGTGTACTAGCGGTTTAACGTCAAGTGCCCACGGCTGCTGTATAGGCCAAGTAATGGTCTATCTCTAGTTAACGGGCGCCAAGCATGCCCAGGAAGGTACATGAGGCCAATGGGGATTGAACCAGACCTCCTAAATGTGACTTGCTACTGAGCTAGGTGGGGAAAAAAAAAGAAGAGAAAAAAAACGGTCATCTATTTTTTTCGGGAGAATTTTCGAATGCCCCTGAAGTTTGAGTTCATTTGTGATTTGCCCCTCCGACGGCGAACTTACCCTGATATGCCCCTGGGCCTCTGAACTTTCGAGCACGCCCCTGTCAGTGTGGGGCACAACTTTTTGGAATGCCCCTACCGGACATGCGGTCCTATTTCCCCTACTGCCTGTCCGATTTGCCCTTCTGTGGGGGATGCATCTTCATGAGATGCCCTCCAAGAATTTGAATACAAATCCCGTACTTTTCCTGCCCGTCGCGCAAAAAGAAGTCTGCACTCCATGTCATGTCCGCTGCTGCAATCCGCCGTGTAGTGCATTCTTCAGCTACTGCGACCTACTGCCGCCTTGGACGTTGGCGGAGTACGTTGCCGAAGGTCAGTGTTCCTCCCCTTGGTCCACGCCTCTCTCTCTCTCTCTCTCTCTCTCTCTCTCTCTCTCTCTCTCTCTCTCTCTCTCTCTCTCTCACACACAAACACACACACACACACACACACACACACACACACACACAGAGTGGCAGTGTATATTTCCATGGTCCAGCGGTAGATTCATTCGAATTTGCTCATCCTATCCATGGAAGCACCATGAGGTCTGCCGCGAGATTGGAGACTTACCTGTTCTCTCTCTCTCCCTCTCTCTCTCTCTCTCTCTCTCTCTCTCTCTCTCTCTCTCTCTCTCTCTCTCTC